ATGCACCCACCCCCACCCGCACCCCCGGCGGCACATCTGAGGAAGTGTCCATCTGGTATTCAGTGTAACCCCCATATTCTGGGGCTCCCCCAGCGCCCCCACTATCCATATGTCACCCTGTCTTTGTAGTCTTTGTTTTCCCCACCCATGCATTTTACATCCACACTCACTTTACTTGACCCATTTCTCGACTCCAGAAGGCATTCGGCCTGCTGAGCGCCGCCCTGAGCACATTACTTTCAGGAGCATGGTGCCACAAACCCTTACTTGTAGGGCTGATGCAGGACACAGCCCTGCCCGGGGCTGAGCACTCCATGAGAGGCTGCCTGAGGCTCCTTCTGTGTCTGTGCGGTGGGTTCATCTGTTCCTCTTCCGTCCAGGCGTCTCCCGCAGCAGACATGTGGGGCGTGCCCCGGGGGAGGGGACGGGAGGACCCAGCACCAGCGGGCCTCTGTGACGCGTCTGTCTCTGTTCTGGGTGCAGTGCCTGATCCGCCTCATCCACAAGGAGCTGGGCTGCACAGGGAAGCCAGCAGGGGACCAAGTTCCGTAAGTCCACCGCCATTGGCCGCTGCTGCTGGGGGTTAGGGAATGGGCTGAGAAGAGCTTTCTGGCCCGGCTGCCCCTCCCACACCCAGCTGTCCCTGCCATTGCCCTATGTGTGTGTGATCCTGGCCGTCGCTGCCTCCTCTGCCCTTGTCTCAGGGAGCCCCGATAGCATAGGGGTTCCGAGTAGGACTACCTAACCCCAAGGTCAGCAGTTTGAAACCACCGGGAGAAAGATGGGGCTTTCTATTCCCGTAGAGTGACGGTCTCAGAAACCCACCGGGCAGCCCTACCATGCCCTGTGGGGTCGGCATGAGTCAGCCTGGGCTCAATGGCAGGGAGGGTGGGTTTTCGGTTTGGTCTTTGTCTCTGGGAACCATGGCCGTGTGGTTCTAACTGGAAGGTCAGTGATTGGAACTCACCAGCATCTTCAAGGGAGAAAGATGAGGCCCATAGGATTTACCGCCTGGGAAACCCACAGGGGCAGTTCTGCCCTGTCCTGTGGGTTGGCTGTAGGTTGTCGTCAGCTCCCTGGCAGTGAGGAGGTGAGCCTTTGCCTGTCGGCGGGGCTTTCCTGCAGCAGGGGTGGCTCACCGCCCTCCCCTCCCTCCTCCCTGCCCATCACCAAGCTGCAAGCTGGGGGGGTTGTGTCAGAACTTACTCCCCATGTCTGTTTCCAGAAAAAGCCCTGACCAGGGAGACAGGCGGGCTGGGCTCTCTGTGGGCCGTGGGGGTTTTGCATGGCATTGAAACCGCAGCTGGCAGCCTCACCGTCTCTTATCTGGTCGCATCTTTCAGGTTTAAGGAACACTGATTGTGCCACTCGTCCTTCACAATACGTCCTTCGTGGGAACCTTCAAGCAAAGACTTCCTGGGCCGAGGCGACGTGGTTGTGCTTGGCACACATCCCTAGAGGAAACACACGCGCCAATGTGTGCATATTCCGTTGCAACTACCCCACACAGCCTGGGACGGAGTGAGGGCGTTTATGGATGCTGCCGATGGCCCAGGAAAACACACACTCTGACAACCAAGTGCCTCCCCCATGCTGTCTCACCCCGCCGCTCCCCAAGGCATGGGACCAGTGAGGAGCCATGGGTTCTTAGACACAGGCGCCCTCTCTCAGGTATTCAGGTCGCACAATGTTAAAGAGACGTGGATACTGTGCCCACAGGAACTCTGACCACCCGACTATGTGTCTGTCGCTTCCAGAGACCCCCAAACAATCAGATGTCGAGACCCAGCCAGCAAAAGAGGTTGGCATTCTTAAACAAATCACTATGCTCTGATATGATGACATCAAAAATGATTCAGAAGCCAAGATTGAACCGGGACCCTTCACATCACCCCAGAGACCTTCCCAGGGCTCCCTTGAACCCGGACACGGGAGGGCAGTGAAAGCACCCCTGCTGGCGATGGGGCCCAGACACCTGGGGAAGCGCCCAGCACTGGCACACCTGCCCACGTACAGGTGGCACAGGCAGGCAGGCAGCGAGGGGCACATCTCCAGCTCAGTGATCTGCCTCCAAGACCCCCGCGCGTGTGTGGGCGCACACACACACTTTGGGGGGCACAGGTCTTAGATGCACCACAGCAGGGTCGACATTGGTTATTTAAAAGGTGTACTATGTTACGTGAAAGCCAGGAACTACTGTACGTGGCGTTTATTTATTAAGACAAACTGTGACTGCTTCCGGGCCCTTTGTGTTCCCTGCTGTTGCCCTAGAAAGCACCTGCCCTTTGAAATAAATGTGTTCAAAAACAAACAAACAAACGAAAAGCAGGCTCCCCACCCCCCCAGAGAATGCCGCTGGTTACTGCAAGCGAGCGTGCTCACTGTGCTCTCAGTAGCGTTTGTGAGTGTGTGCGTGCTTGGGGCTGTCTTGGGATTGGACACCCTCAGCTCCGCAGGGACTGGGGCCATTCCCACCCAGTTCAGGAGCAGGCCACGCCCAGGCCATCTGGGTGCCCAGCTGGCCAGTCATGCAACTGAAGGACTCTGGAAAGGTCCAGCCTCTGCTGCGACATGTTACACACAAGGGGGCCCCAGCTGCACTTGAAGATCACACGCTGGGGAGGGGAAGGGGTCTGGATTCAGAGCTTTCTCCTTGCACACGGATCCTTCCCAGGCTCTTTCTCAGAGGTGGAGCTCCAGGTGTTTAAGCAAAGAGAGGCTAGGGGAGAAAAAGACTAAATGAAAATGAGACCAGACTAGCCAACACATTGAAATACCTAAATACCTTCCAGAGGACCGGTTAGAACCGGCTGCTTGGATTGCTGCTCTCCCAGGGTGGCTGTGTGGCCCTATGGACAAGCCCAGATGGACAGGAGGCACGGGCGCTGGTCCTCTGCCAAGTCCCATGTCCCATTAGGTACAAAACAGTCACAATGAGTCAGTGCCGACTTGTGCTGGCCCCTGTGCTGTACCGGGCTGTACTAACCACGCCATTTTATTAATAATCAACGCCTTTATTTTACAGCTGGATCGAGCGTAGGCTAGCGCCTGGAAAACCCAAGAAATTCCAGGATTTTTATAGTCCCAAGTAAGAGGGCTGGCTTAAGGGGAGGGATATTCCCCCAGTTACATTCTTATCAAACTGTCAGGGTAGAAGAGGGTTGGGGGCACCACAGCTGCAGGTACTCACTCAGGGTCGAACAGGAGCGTTTACATTGCTTGCTAATTGGGCAGGCAGAATCCAGACACATCTTGAGAAAGTCAAGTTCTATCAGGAGAGGGGGGAGGGAGAAGGGAGAAGGGGCGGCTGGCCGCTCACTGGGGTTGAAGGCTGTCCACAACCAACTGGAGTTCTCGTGCTGGGAGAGGTTACTACACTTGTCAGAGTAGAGCTGCGCTCCCTAGGGTCTTCGGTAGCTGGGATTTCTGAAGATCGCCAGGCCTAACTTCCAAAGCTTGGCAGGTCTTGTCTTTTAAACAAGAGTTGTCTGTGCACTGAAAAACAGTCTTCCTCCGGAAAAAAGAAAAGCCATCAGCTGCTCAGGTCTCTGTTCTCACTGTGCACGTTTTCCTCCTGTTCTCTCCCATCTTGGGGATCCTCTTCTGCCTTGAGCCACCTTCTGAGCCGGCCTGCTTCCCTCCCTGCGTCCCTCCCCAGACTTCAAACATCCCACCAACACCCGCCCCCCCAAGTATCTCCATCAAATCCCAGCTCCCTCCCCTCACCACCAGCTCCCAGCACCCACAGGGCACTGTCTCTAGGTGGTTTCATTTTGTCATTAAATTGAATAGCATCAAAGGGGAAAATGAGACCCATATAAATGTATGACAGTGAAAAAGCGCTGGAACCTTGCTCAGAAGGAATTCACAAATATTCCTCACTAAGGAGAGAGCACTAGACACGTATGACCTGGAAAACGAGGCAGTGCCATGGCGTGCCAGCCCTCAGACGTCCCTGTTCTTGGTTTGGTAACATAATGTCCTTGTCCTTGTCCTTGTACAGGAGCCTTAGCTTCACTCCATAAATGGGAGATTACATCATCAGTGTTAAGGGGAAGGACCTGTGCTTTCCATATAAAAATACATCTGAATTTTATCAGGAGCCTAGCTGAGCTCACGTCCCCCCACCAATAGCCTGGGGAGCTTGGTTCTGGCATTCAGATGGAAATACGGCTCCGTGCTCCTGAATTTGCACGTCACATTGATGGTCCTGTTCCAGTCAGCCCGGATGCCTGGGATGATTGAAAGGCACTTGATGAATTGGCCTGTGGGAAGAGCCACTGGAGGCGGGACTGCAGCTTCCCCATCACTCAGGACAGGAACTAAGATCACCCCTGGAAGCCACCATAGTAAAAGCCACTTCACAGCCTTCCCTGTGCCCGGGGTGGGGCCTTCACGCCTCAAACTGGCTATGGCCAAGGGCCACCACCACCCCACCCCCCGCCCCCTTACTGGTTTGTTAAAGTCACTAAGGGCAAATGAGTAGTAGAGGACCAGAGAGTCTGTTACTTACAAGCTTGAAAAAAATATTTTTTTCAAGCTTGAATTTCTTGTTGTCCGAGTCAAAGACCATAAAGCAGCTGTCAATGAGTGACGGGCATTTGTGACTGCTTCCTGCACAGCTACCTGTCTGCGCTCACCTCAGCACAGGCGATGACAAGGTGACCTGTGGACCACACCTCGAGTATGTGGGAAATGGGGCTGGGAGCCGGCCCACACAGAAAGCGAACCCCCAGTGTCAGCAGTAGCAACCTGGGCTGGTACAAGGATGGGGGCAGCAGTGGGGAGGGAATGCAGCTGAGGGGCCACAGGTTCTGTGGCCCAAACACGACCTTGAGCCTACCTGACCTGAGTTTTGGGAATCTCTCAAGAACAGATTTGGAGCTGTGAGAGAAGACATGAAGAACAGCATTCATGAAGAAACGGGTTGGTAAGAAGACAGCAGGGAGAGAAAAGATCAAAGTGGATGTCCGGAGAGACTCTGAAAGTTGCTCTTAATTGTCAGGTAACTAAAGCAAGTGGAAGAAAGGATGAAATCAAAAGAGCTGAACAGAAACTTTTAAAGGGCAGCTTGAGATGACAAAACCAAGTATTAGAATGAAATATGCAGAGATCTAGTATTGGCCAACCAAGAGGAAAGAGCATGCTCAGTGTATCTCAGGCGGAAAGAACCCAAGAAAACATCCAAGCCTCGAGTTGCAACATTGAAAGATTCTATGGAGAAAATGTTGAATGCAGCAGGGTGCATCAAAAGAAAATGGAAAGAATACACAGTCACTGTATCCAAAAGAACTGGTCGACATTCCGTTTCAGGTGGTAGCATATAAGCAAGAACCAATGATACTGATGGAAGAAGTTCAAGCTGTGCTGAAAGCATTGGCCAACAACAATCTCCAGAAATTCATGGGCTACCAGTCGAAATATTTCAGCTAGCTGGAGAAGCACACACTTGTCTACACCAGGAAATTTGAAAGACAGCTACTTGGCCAACTGACTGGAAGAGACCCATATTTGTACCTATTCCAAAGAAAAGTGACCCACCAGAAAACTCAAGTTATAGACCAATTATCAATGATTGATATCACATGCAAGTAAATTTTTGCTAAAGATCATTCCACAATGGTTGTAGCAGTACATTAACAAGGAGCTGTCAGAGGTTCATGTCGGATTCAGAAGGAGACGGGGAACAAGAAATATTGCTGATGTCAAATGGATCTTGGCTGCAAGCATAGATGACCAGAAAGATGTTTACTTGTGTTTTATTACCATGGCAAGGAATTCAACTGTGTGGATCTTAAGGTGTGCCTTTCCCCGCTTTGTGATGCACAGGAAGTTTTTTGTCCAGTAGAATTGTTGGTGGTACAGTTTTTGTTTTGTTTCCTGATTGCATCCTGCCGCTGGGGCTTGCCACTTCTTCAATATCCCTGTTGCCTGGAAACGGGCCATTAGAGGTGGAGGTTTGGTCTGACTTGAGTTGAATTCTGGAACATCTCTCCATCAGTAGTTGGGTGCACTTTCCCCTGGGGCCGACTAATGCCTTGTCTCCTCTCCCTTTGTGATGTTTGGACAGATCAGCCTGTTCCACCCATTATAAAGTTCCCCATTAGCCATCCACTCATTGGTGTCAACAGTCACTAATAATCTTTGCTTAGCTCCATCATTTTGCTGCAGAAAAGCTGCTATTGCTTGACATTATGAACTTATCTTCCTTGACAGGGATAAAACTACAAATTATAGTGTCAAGTGAAAAGAAAGAAAAAACTAGTCGAAAACAGCGTACTGCGTACAGCTTTTGTTTTGTTTTTAGAGAGTCTGTGTAAGAAAGGAGCCCTGGTGATGGAGTGGTTAAGCTCTGAGCTGCTCACCAAGACCATAAGCTGCTCTGCAGGAGAAAGGTGAGGCTTTCTACTCCCAGAAAGGGCTACAATCTCAAAAGCCCACCCATGAGGCAGTACTACCCTGCCCTAAAGGGTCACCATGAATCTAAAAGGACCCAAGGGCAGGGACTCTTCAAGGATGGAAGACTGAAATAGAAGCCAGAGCAGAGCATCCGCTGATGCGTCAGCTCATCCTCTCATGCAGTGGCTGCAGCTACAACGCTGGGCAAACCTGACGTGGCGCCTGTCCTTGTGGTACCAGATGCCAATGGAATCATATGCGCTTGATTTCTTAGGAGAACACAGCGTTAAATGTCTTGCTCTCACACACAAGCCACCACAGTCTGAAACACTGACAGATAAGGGGGTAGATACATAGGTTTTCA